AGCAGGAACTCTGTCTTGCCAGGTGTTTGTCCAGATTTAATGTGGCTTGCCTGTGAAGTGACTCAGGTGCTGTGTACTACCAGCAGTACAAACAGATGAGTTTGCCAGCCCCCAAAATTAAACCAGACCCCCCAAAATTCAACTTTGAAATGCAGTATGTGTTAGTGGGGAGCGGAGGAAGTTAAAGCAGTGTTTCTTTAACGGCACTTCAGCTCCTCAGTGCACCCAGATGACCCCTTAAAGTCTGGGATTTTTCCTTCCTTTTCCTCTCTTTTTTCTTATGAAAGGCTTCTTGTTTTTTTGTGGGTTGGTTTTTTTTTTTTGAGTTCTCCAGCACTCAGGACTTAAAAACAAACTGCAGTAATGCTGAGCTGCCTTAGCATTACTATGGAAGACAGCATGAAAGCTGTAACCACAGAAAAGATGATTTTCCATCTCTATAGCAGGCATTTGGCTGGCAGATTCCTGCAGGTGCCTGAACATGTCTTAGAAAGTTTCTCTCTCTGGCTACTTTAAGAGGGTTGCTTCTTGGTAATCTAATCAGTGCACTGAAGTATGTGGAAAGGATTGTAAATAATGTAATTCTCTGGCTTTCTTAATCACAACCAGAATCTTTTTCTACTTGTATATCCAAAAGTTATTAGTTACCTGCTCAGAGAATGTTTAATAACTAGGCTTTGGAAAACAACACCTCCTTCATAACACAGATTCACTATGGCACATTCCAGCTGGTATGCACATGCTCTAACACGGGCTCTGAAAACATATATGTAGACTTCAAAAAAGGAAGAACTCTAATTTAGTAGAAGTCAACAGAGCTTCCCACATGCTTTAAGATAGGGAGGTGTCCTGAAGTTTGAAGAGTCAGAACTGCACACCTCAAAAAACATATTAAATATAAAGGGGTTCAAACTGGCATGGAAATTTGCTACTGGAAATTCTGAGCAATTGATCCCAAGTACCTCTGCCAGTTACCACCAATTTACTGGAGCAACTATTTAACTCAAGTTCAATGGTATAGAATAGTCCAGTTTGCAGCAAAACCAACAAGCACTACCAACACCAGGAGAAGAGCATGGAAGAGCCAACAGAAGAGAAGCCTCCTACATGCCCTTCTTCTTTCCCCAAGAAAAAATACCCAGAAAGGACAGAAAAACTACTGTGACATGGGTTGCAATTCTGGCAGACTGATGGTGCTGTTGGAAATGCTTTTGCATGTGTTCTAACATGCTATAACTTCTGAAAGTGGCTTCATATAAAATACCACAAGCCTTTGATATGTTTTTGCAGTTTAATCTGTATGCCTGCCAAATCTAGGTGAAACAACCTTGCGTTTAACTGGAGCGGGTGAATGTAGTTAGCATTTCATTCCAACTCTCATTCATTCTTTATTTTCCCTTTTCTTCATATTTAAGCCTTTCAGGTCATTTGTATCAAGTTCAGCAAGCTTGCACTTTCTACTCAAAGCAAAATGTTACCCATAATACACTCTGTGGTTTTTGTCAGACACATAAGACTTTCAAATACTTGCTACCAAGATTTTTTTCCTATGGTTCAGTTTTGAAAGGCAAAAGTGAAATCAAATTTCACTCCCTAGTTACTCCACATCTGTGTTTCTATGTTACAGAAGATTTGAAAAGAAAAAGAAACTGATTCACTTTGTCCTTTGTCACTGTTCCCAGCTGTGAACTGCACCTGCACCGTGACTCACTAATGCTGAGGAGGCCTAGACGTCTGAAAAGCTTAAACAACAATTTAAACAGTGTTCTTCATGTGCCTCACACAGCTAGAGAAAGACAAAGCTGATTTTATCTTGCTATTACACAAAACAAGTCAAGTTTTGGAAAACAACAACAAAACCCATTGAACACATCGCAAGGCATATGCATACACTTTGAAATACAGATTCCAATTCATCTATCTCAACAAGGTAAAGTAATGCACATTTTAAACTTATCTGTTGGTCTTCATAACAACTCCTTTTAAATTCCTTAAGTCCAAAATATTAACAAAATATGCTTGTATAAACACATCCTGACTTTTTTGACCTTAATTTTTTGCTCTTTACTCAAATCAAGGCTGTAGCTTCTAGCATTTGAAAATATTTTGTAATCCATATCTAAACACTCAATGCCACTCATAAAGCAAGCTCTGGATAACTAGAGCTAAAAAAATTAAAAGGAAGGAAAGGTAGAAAAAGTACCCTGGCTTCACATGGAAGCTTTATTACATGCAGGAATAACCCAAGCATGAATATACATGGGCAGAATTGGATGCAAAAAAACATAGCTAGTTCCCAAACTAATTGCTGAAAATCCTTTTTTGTTTTCCACTGTACCATGCCACCCTCAGTTTGATAAGGGGTTCTTCTTCCTTCCCATTCACGTCTGAATTTGGGCATTTCTGGCCTTTAGCAGCTACAGGCCTAGGAATCACTTTATGAAACAACAAAGACATTGTGCAGAGCAAACATCAATCACCATCCTTTAATGATTACATATTAAATTAAGACCTCCTTATCAATAAACTATATGCATTCCATTTCTTTCACTGGTATCATTCTAATTCACACGGTGCTACCAACATCTTTGGAACTTCATTATGCTAGAAAAATTTATGAGATATTTCTCATAGATTTAGCTGAACTCGTGCAAACTTTTATGGGAGCCCCTAACGCTGCTGAACTTCCCACAAGCAGCCCACTTTTAATTAGATGTACTTCACAGGCTATTCAGCTAGACCATTAGTAAAAACACAAATAGTAGCTGCGTTCCACTGCATTCAGTCATTTGAACACTGGTATTTGAGCTGAACTGCTCAAATAATAGCAGAATAAGTGAACCTGTGTACTGGTTTGTTTTCTTAAAGTAGACATGGGGTAACTTTCATAACGTGAATTACACCCTAATTGTTTTACTTTTGCTTTTAAAATATAGCACAGTCTGTGCCTCTGGGACTTTCATTCTTTTCCTCCACTATCTAGAGGTTATCTCATGTCTGTAACTGTGAGGTTTTATGTTCTGAAAATTTTATCACATGTCTACTGAGGACTTTAACAAGTGATTGTTGTATGGGCTAGTTCATGGTTTCGTTTCTTCCCAGCATATTAGATAATCAGGTCCATCTGACCATTTAGTGGATTTTTCTTTTTTACTAGATTCTTCTTGGTTTGTACTGTTTTGCATAGCCATAGGTGATACTCTGCAAATGAAATGAATACCTGACAACCTAATGAAAGGAATTTAATGTTTAAAAGACTTTTATACTGAACCACTTAAAAAGTGGTAACTCAGGCTACATGTGATATAATCTATATTTCTGTATACTTCATTGAAGTAGAGGCTTACGCAGCATCTAAGTTAAGCATTAGAAACATATATCTATTAGGAATTTTTTGTCTGCCTTCCCAGGCTTACTCACCAGTTTATTTGGATGCAGATAAAAAATTGGTTTATGGCCGAATAACTATATTGGCATTTTTCAAGTCTATCATCTAAGAACAAATCCAGTTTATTGTGTTCCAAATCAGTCTTGAAATATATCCTTCTCTCTCTGGAAGCTGGTGGCTCTGCATCTGTTCTAGTCCTCTCATTTTTCTCGGTCACTAACACTGATGTGATGGATCTCCTTGGGTATGTTATAATGAGACAGACAACTCATAAAATATATGAGGTTCTCTAGTGGGGAAAAGGGACCACAAGAGAAGAGGTGGTTCGTGCAACAGCTAATAAGGAAGGAAAGCATGAGTCACAGTGAGAAACATGATGGGAAGGGCCATATAAAGGGAGTGTAGAAACTATTTGGTCTCTTATTCTGTTCATAGCTATCTATTCCTTTTTCAACTGATTCTGGGCATGCACACAATAATTACCACAATGCTCTCAAAATCTCAGTTCTCTCTTAATGATATTTTTTAATTTATTTCACCAAAGATTTGCACTGACTCTGACTGATGATTGATATCCAAAGTAGTTGGTGAATCTGTGAAGCTTTGCCAGCTGCTTTTGATGGAGGTACTTTCCTTTACAGTGAATCATGGAATTATTAAAAAAAAACAGGAACCTGCATCAAGGTCTGCTTTATTACTGAGTGAGCTTTACACAAACAGATCCAAAAATATAGAGTCATTAACCCAGCTTCCACAAATAGAATATACTTGTAAAGTTATCCACCTTTTGCAGATAGCTAATTAGAGTTTAAAAGAAGTGGGATAGGGTTTTGGAGGGTATTTATATTCTTTTTGAAATGTCAATTTCAATGTGGACTTTCTGTATCTGTAAACATTCAATGTCCTTTGCTAAGGGCTTGCTATCATGCTTTCACGATAAATTTTAATACAAAAACAATTTAATTGTATTTATTATATTTTTTCTTGTTTTCTTTTTAAAATGTTGTCAAGCTTCCCTACAGAAATACATTCTGCAAAGAAAGAAATGCCATATTTTTTAAAAAGATTACAACTTCAACAGAAAATCTTGTGCGCTAAGTTGACACACACATTTTGTTGATAAAGACTTACCACACCCCACCAAAGGGCATCAGCGTAGCTGGAGAAACCTGTCTTTCCATCCTCATCAACTGCATCCTTCTCAGCAAGATAAACAAAATAGGATGAAAAAATTAATCCCAAAAATCCAATGTACAACGTGGTTATGAGTTCCTATTAAAAGAGAAAGCAAACAAGCACATAAGATTTACATCATATATAACTTATCATTGTAAAACATTGTAAATATCTGGAGTTTTTTTGCATCACAGTAGAAAAATTAATAAATTATATTTCAGGTATGAAATTTGCTTCCAGTAAAACAGGTAGTTCAGTGACTTGTTTTCTATTAATATCAGACTAAAGAATTCAAGAAGCCATCATTTATACAAGATCATTTGGACAGCTAAATGTAGGGTGGGACATCTCTCCTGTTTTATGTCTTGTGAATGGCAATCATTCCATTTAACTGTCCACTCAAAATACCAAATGTTAATATCTTTTAAAAATAGTAAAACAGCTTTAGAAATGGACTTTATGAACAGTATGCTAAAATAACAGTTAAGAAATAACAACCATGTCTTGTGATTATTACCATACCTAAGCACTGATCTTGTGTATCTGATATTTAGATTGCCTAAGCCTGAATAATGATGTCTTAACAGTTTCATGTTAAGATAAAATAAAATCTCAAGATAAAATATGTTAGGTAGGTACAACCTCTACTTCAGCCCTGAAAAACAAAGACTGTTTGAGGCTAGGCCAGTTTATTAGAAGGGACTTTTGTTAGGACATGATACGGTGCTTATGAATGTACCAGCTTCTTTATAGATTTTTGGATAGGAAAGTTGTATCAGAACTGATGTGACTTAGATACAGGATTGTTACAGCCTTCAGGAAAAATGCGCTTGCGTATTTAAACAAGCCAAAATGTGTGGTGTCACAGATGCAAAAATGTGTAAAGCTTATACAGGCAGCACTACATTGTAATCATCGAGATATTCACCTACCCCTTAGGAAAATCCAATACCTAGTTACAAGGGAAAATAGCTTATTTTAATTACTTAAAGTTTACAATGCTTCAATTGTTAACATATTCCTTTATTTTCTTTGCACATAGTTAGCCATCTTTATTATGAAACACTGTAGTACTATATCTTCATTGCCATCTTCCTTAAATTCTTGACAGAGTTATTTTTCTTTCCTTGGATCCAAACCAATATGTGAATGAAAATAGTCTGATAAGATAAATTTAAAATTAAAACCTGTCTAAGAAGGATTGCCTCTTCTTATAAAGTATGTCAGGTTTTCACAGATTTTCTGTAACACCCTACCCCCGTTTCTTAAACTGTTTGTGTGGGAAGGTTCAGGTTTTATCATTAAACTTTCTTCAGATTTTTTTTTCTTTCTTTCTTTTCATTTCCATATAAGAGCTTTCTGGGAAAATGTAGGTCTGGTAGCAAGTAATTGCATTGTGCAGCAGGAACTACATATGCTCTTCCTTCTGACACAAAACTGGGAGGAGCTGTTGACACTCTCAAGGGCAGAGAGGCCCTGCAGAGAGGTCTAGACAAATTAAAGAGCTGGGCAACCTCCAACCTAACAAGGGCAAGTGCCAGATTTTGCACCTAGGACATGGCAACCCTGGATGTACATACAGACTGGGGAACGGGACGCTGGAGAGCAGCCCCATGGAGAGGGATCTGGGGGTTCTGGTTGATGGCAAGTTGAACATGAGACAACAGTGTGTCCTGGCAGCCAGGAGCACCAACCGTGTCCTGGGGTGCATCAAGCACTGTATTGCCAGCCGGTCGAGGGAGGTGATTGTCCCGCTCTACTCTGCACTGGTGCGGCCTCATCTTGAGCACTGTGTGCGGTTTTGGGCGCCACAGTACAAAAAGGATACAAAGCTACTAGAGAGTGTCCAGAGGAGATCCATGAAGATGGTGAAGGGTTTACAGGGGAAGCCATACAAGGAGCAGCTGAAGTCACTTGGTCTGTTCAGCCTGGAGAGGAAGATATGCCAGGGGAGGTTTAGGTTGGACATTAGGAAAAGGTTCTTCACCCAAAGGGTAGTGGAGCACTGGAACAGGCTCCCCCAGGAGGCAGTCATGGTGCCAAGCCTGACAACATTCAAGAAGCATTTGGACAACTCCCTCAGACATACGGTGTGAATTTTGGGATTGTCCTATGCAGGGACAGGAGTTGGACTCGATGATCCTTGTGGGTCCCTTCCAACTCAGGACATTCTATGATTCTATGATTCTGCTATAGCACTAATTGAAATCTATGTTCAGCAAGTTTTGAAGCAATCCTGGCACAAAGCAAAGCAGGTTTTTTTCCTCTAATCATTTAATAATGACCTAAATAATGAATTTTGATATTATACAGTTTTGCCCATGGGCAAGTCTTTTAATCTAAGCCTTAACTTTTTGCAGGCCTGTTTGCTAAACAAGGCAGCTGAAAGAGGAAATAAAACTTGGGTTTTCAGTAGTTCAGATTTCTATGCTGGTCACGATTCTTTTCTCATCTTTTTCTCTAATGATAATGGTACACTGTAGATGTGACTTATTGCTCTGAAAAGTTCCTTGTGTTTACATTTATAGTTGACTATTTGCATTTCTCCAATTTTTCACAACTTTTTATTTTGCCTACACAATATTTTTCCAATGCAAGATGAAACTGTTTAACACCTGAGACTGTAAGTTCAGTGATCCATAGAAAACTACAACAGAAATGGAGATTAATTCTTCTTGTCTGCTTACAAAGAAAACTCTGCTTTCATCTCTAGTAGATTTGTGGCTTCCTTCCACATCAACAGAAATCTTCTAGTTACACTTGGCATGTTGCTTACATCTCAGATATTAATAGATTTCACATGTTATTGAGGAATGGCCATCACTGCTTTCTTTTAATTTTTTCTCAGAGGACAGAATTACAGAGTGGATGATAATTCGAATACTTCTATGTTAAGTGCTGGCTTTTTGAGAAGCAAGCAGAAAAATATGCTTTTCCAAAGTAATATGCCTAGTCTTATGAGATCCTTTCAAAGTGGTTGAAATATCAACAGAACTACTCTGCTTATTTCACCATTGGCACCTCACAGCTCCAGCCCTATTCATCTAAAGACTGAACTCTTTTTAAGTAAAGCCCAGATGAAAATGCAGTTGCCTTAGACTTATTCTAAATGTCACTCCATGTTACATATGTATAGAGAGACAGAATACTACATGCCTATATTTAATTAAGAACAATGGCAGCAATCTAATATATACTGCATTTAAGAGAGAGCACAGAAGGTTTTAAAATAACACGTGCTTCAAGAAATATGGATAGATTTGTGTCTATCAATGTCAAATAGTATTAATTGATACATGATCTCAAAGCAAAGAACATTTTGCAGAAATCAGGCCTTGAAACTTCACATTTATGTGATTTTCAATAGATAAGAGCTTAAGAATAAAGAGTGCTGCCTAATACAAATGACTGTTTTCAGCAAGGACTTTCAGATACATATATGCAAAGGAAACAGCAAGAAGAAAAAACAAATATGCACAAAGGTAAATTTGAATATTGAGAGACTTGAGTCAACACATTTTTTTAACTTAGAAAGATTTATATTTTCAGTTACAATAAGGACCGCACAGTATAAAATTTAACACTTAGGAAACATACAAGAAAACCCCAAATCCCCAACTCATCAGTAACTCCGTCCGCAAAGCAGTAGAAGACCTCACAGAGCAAGGTGAGGAATAAGTAAAACTAATTGAGAGGCTTACAAGCTGGAGCTGGATTGGCTAACTCAGGTTTTCAGTAAGCGGCATGATTTTTCCATGTCTTTCCATCACCACATGTGATATTGACTCATGTTTTGTTGCTTTTGGCGAGAAACGCTTGTATAAGCTCAACCTGCTGAAAATAGAATAGCGTCCTACCCTAAGTAGGCCCGAGTGAGCTAATTCTTTAGCCAAATTAGGCCTGAGTGAGCTAATACAGCTATATGTAAAATTCCAAAACACATGGAAATCATTGGTGACAACTTTAGTAAGCTCTTCTAGGCCCACAAAGGTCCAAGTGCTTGTTTTTTTCACAGGTCACAAAGATATGAATTTATTTTCTCACATTGTTTAAGGGTTTAGAGTCCCATTTTTTCTGAAAGAGTACCAAGCTCGACAAATAAATGAGGACCTTGTACTCTGCCTGTAAAGAAAAAGCAGCTGAGGTGTTTTTGTTTTGTTTTATTTTTAAACAAAAACTTCTTTAAGAGACTGGACAGGAATAAAGGTTCCATTTTCCCTTCCATTTGGTACCATGGTAGGGTTTCAGCTACACTTGTCCAATGTCAATATAGAACTGTGTGTTTGATTTTTTTATTATTAATGTGTTAGTGGGTGATCTGCTTTGACAAGTACTACAGATCTGTAGAGTTTTATATATCATCATAATCACTTCTTTGGATTAGCAGAACTTCAGGTGCGTTTATTCATAAATTCACTTCTCCAAGGGTATTTTTTTTCCTTTTAAATCATTGAACTTATTTATGTTTGTGACATTTAAGACTTAAGTGTTATATTTTGGAGATAGTATTTCCAGATTCTTGACTAAAACTCTGAACACCCACAGGAAAAAATTCTCTCAAACACCTCTGTCAGGAAGGTTAGCAAATGTTGAGAAAGTGTATTTGGCTATCAGCTCTGCCCTAGCTAGATATCCAGGCAATGCGACCATAATAAATGAAGACCACACAGACTTGGAGCATTAAAAGTCATCCTGTTGGGCAGGATGAAAGTAGGCTTTATACTAGAGCACTTCAGTGTGCATCAATGCTGCACAGCCATCGTGACATAAAATTTCCTACAGTACTGGGGAAAAAAAATAAAGGGAAGAAAAGTAACTTTTAGTATTAAATTAATCTTTTGGATTAAGTACCTCTCATTCTCTGCCCCAGAACAAGAGTTTTCTAAATAACAAACGAAACAATGTCTGTGTAGAAATCTATAACTATTTGTCAATATCTGGAGAACAAACCTACACTCATAAAGAGTAGGTTAAAGAACCACCCTTACAAGTTTGATGTAAAGATTCACAGCACAGTATTAGCCCTCCACAGTATGGTATGATACACAAGATTTAAAGGCTAATGATAAAAGATTATTATTATGTTCATAAAGCTAAGTCAGCTTTTCATCAAGAGATTCCATGAAGCCCCAAAAAGAAGCCTTCAGCTAGAAATTTTTAGAAGTCAGCGCTAAAACATTTAAGCTTTTCCTGCTTAATGAACTTTTATACAGAATAACTGTTTCAAAGCTTTAACGGACATATAACTATTTACAGCCAAGTTTACCTCTTTGACTACACCCTTGAAAAACTAACTTTTCTGGCATATTATCATAACATAGTTAGTATTTTTATTTATAGAATGAATTAGAAAACTCCTTATTCAGGCAGAGAAAACAGAATGATTTAAATAATTGACTTGTTCTATCAAGGCTTTTCCACTAGTATTTTTTTTCCACAGAACAACCAAGCTAGGAACACATCTTCTGTGAAGACAGTGGACAGTATTTGCAATATGAAAGGCAGCCCACATAACTGCATTTAATAAATTATATTGAAATATGACATCAGAGTGTACAACAGTTAATTTCCAAAACAATACCGATGCTGATACCCTGTTAGCCATTGACCTGAAGTAAAGAATCATGTTTCCATTTTAAAAGCAGAAAGGAACACGATGGACTTTAAAAGTATTTTTCGTCTTCCAACAGTAACTGTTCTTTTAAAGCAGACTACGATTTGAAGTCCATGAAAAGAATATATGAAAGTAAATAAAATGCTGGGGATCTTTAAATATCTAGTACCTGACGATGCAGGAAAACAACTGATCCTAATAGTCGCCAGGTGCCACCCTGTCGATCTACATGAAGCATGCGAAGTATCTGGAGAAACCGGATCCCCCTGTAAGAAAAACAGGACATTAAATAAAACGAATGATTGAGAACAATACTGCTCTATCTATATACATAGTTGGCTATGTTCACTAACATACTGCCATATTACAGAACTGTGATAACATTGCCCCTGGCTAGAGCTGCATCTTAGATTTGAGGCATCTCAGTAGACAGTATGTTTAGATCACATTTCATTATATTCAAATATATTCAGAAATATTAACTAGGACAACAATTGGTTAAAAGAAAAAAACCCTTCTAAAATATATGCTTTCAAACTCAGAGGAAACTTGCATATTTTACCTGATTATAATTCTCAAATGCTTCCTTTCCAAGCAAAACCAGTGCTTCAAGCTTTGCTAACATAAATATGAGCAAACTTTTTTCTGTATTTGCCAAAAGCAGAAGTGAATCAAACATTACTGAAGTCCTTTTTGTGTAAGTTACAGAAATCATCTAACTGGAAATAGATACAGTCCTATGTGATTTTAGGACAATAACTGAATCATAAACTCCAAATATTTTCAACTAAAGAAAAATAATTATCCATATGGTTCTTCAGCAGAATTTTATTCAATGGAAATATTTCATTCTAATCACCCTTTTGACAATGAACTTTGTTTGCCTACACTCATCTTACTATCTTATCACTGAAACAAAACACTGAAGAGCAGGAAAGGATGAATGTTGAATTCATCCATCTGACAATTTTTCACTAGAAGTATTTTTAGCTATTTTTAGATATACTTAAAATTTTGTCATTGTTGTTGGGTTTGTTTTTTAATCAAAAAACTGGCTGATAGCCAAAACCACCTGGGTTCACATATAAACACACAGCGGGTCTTTTCATTGAAGTCCTTCCTACACTTCTAGTTAAATTAAACAAAATCTCTGGAATTTTCACATTCATCCTCCTCTTCTCCTATACGAGCTGATAAATCACATTCACACTACCTGCATGAGTCTTTATCATCATGTAAGGATTAATGTTCTATGGTAATAGTTACCTTAAAAATATTTTATACATGTAGTTCCCTCCAGTGTTTGTCTACACAGCTAGACAGTTTAGACAGTACGGTACATTCTCACTTCCCAGTGATTAGACTGCATTGGAAACCAGAGGCTTGTAGCAGAACATGCAGCACATCTTGCAAGTTAATTTAGAAGGAGTGGGAAGTACACCTACTCCGCTTATCATTCCTTTCTGTTATTTATCCACTTTATTTCCCAAAACAAGATTGCAGTACTTGATGCAAGCTGAACAAACACTGTGGACATCAAATGTTTCTGGTTTATGTATGGTATGAGTTACTTGTGCCAAACAAATCCACCAAAGCATAATTACTCTTTAAACAAAGTAATTACTCGTACTGAAAAAGTACCGAGTTAGGAGCTGTCTGGATTACTTCTTAAATAAACTGATGTTCTGTCATACTCTTTTGTCTCAGAAAGAGAGCCGTTTGATGTTTTATATAGAACATAATGTTTCTTCAGTTTTTTTCCTTTTGGCTTCAGCATTCCAACCATTCTTCATTTGCCTTGTTTCTGCACTCTTGTTTCCCAACCAGTGACCAAGCACAATAACACGCAGTCTTCCACTGTCCAGTGTTTCAATATAAGAACTTTTCCTATATTAGGAAAATACCATATACAGCTAATTTGGAAATTGGAACATTAGATATACATCTAATATAGCTCTGTGGTTGTGAAGAGCTACAGTCACTAGAAGAACATACCTTATTGCAGAGGTGGCAAACACCTGTCCATTAGATCCTATGCTCAGAACAATAATTGAGGCTACTACCACAATTAGATCTGTTGTTAAAAAAAAAAAGAAAGAATGTATTAAATGTTAGCTCTCAGCACTGAAACACACGAGAAATACAGACTGAGGAAAGCACTTTAGAAAAAGAAATAAAGTTAGCTGAAATTTGGTGGGCAGTAAGTTAATGTAATAGTTTCACATCAAAAAACCAATGACTACAGTTTCTTCCATGATGAATTTAATAATGGAAATTTTAAAGATCCTGACAGATCAGACAACAAAGGCACAGGCCTATGTACACCCTAGAAATGAATCCACATTTTGGCTCAAGGCTCTTGATTTAAGAGGTAAAGTAAGGGTTTGATTTGATCAATAATGAAATGCATAAACTCAAGTATCAGATGCATATACACACACACATACACTCAGTTTAAAAACTGTATAAAAGCTGTAAAGCCAAGCTTTCAAAGTTTAGGGTACTGTCACAACAAGGATTGCCTACAAAGAATCAGAGCTGTTGGTTTACTTTGCGATACAGCCTTTAATTGTATGAAAAAATAGTTGTTTCCAGAGTTACATTTTTTTTCCACAACTCCGCAGTTTACACAGTTCCAGCATTATACAACACAAATGATTGGTTCTGTCGACAGTGCCAGCATCCCTTATCTTCTTTTATCCTAGTTCAGTGAACAGGTCTATTGCTTTTAATTATTGAACCCTACTCTAACATTATTCTGAGAAGACATTTTTCTAATTTCCTCATGGGCATTTCTGTGGTAATCCTCTTCGCAGCATCTAAAGGCTTCACTTTCAAATTCTAACCAGAAAATAAAGGATAGTATTATAAATGGGTAGCAAATATAGACAGAATGAGGAAAAGTTTTGGTAATTTTTCCTTGCCAGTTTTAAACAGGCAGTACTTTATTCTTCAGAGCACTTAACGTTATATAGCACTTCAAAAAAAACAGTGCCTGCTGACTTCACTTGCAGCTGTGAGAGCTCAGAACCTCTGTAACCTGACTTCAAAGTCTTCATTTGGACATCCAGAAAATGAGGCACACTTGTGAAAACTGATTTAAATGACTGCCACAGAGTTTCCATGTGATGCCTAGGCAAGATGCAGGATAGAATCCAACTTCAGAGGCAACAATAGTTGCCTTGAACAAGGGTAACTTTTTTCCTCTCTTTTAAACATTCTTCTGCCTCATTCACAACTGCGTAGTTGCTGCAACAAATATTGCAGCAGTTCTACAACCAACAGTATCCTTCACTCTCTGACTTGGATTAATTTCCAGTATCAGTCTGATTTTTGCTATAAAAGCAGGATTCCTCCCCAAGGGATAGCACTCAATCAGTTTAAAGACTGTACTACAGTAATTGTACATTTATGAAAATGAAAATAAATACAGGGAGGGATAAGTTAAGGCTACAGACAGTCCATTGTGGGATAATCTTAACTTTTGAGTACCTGACCTTCCAAATTTTTTATGCTGTTCCTTTGTCATGTATGTGTGCAAACATATATTTGTAAACACTCAGAATTTAGGGAGGGTTTTCTTCCCATCACATCGTAATACAGATCTTTGCCCTTAAGCAAATGATGAACCCAATGTCTTTACCTAATTATCAGGCATATACATATCCATCTGATGACCACCACTGAAGGAGGAAAAGATTGATACTTAGGAAATGAGTTTCAATCAGGTAGTGACAGTAACATAGATTTTTTGATTTGTACTTTCCACTTTTCTGACAGTGTGTTCTACATGGTAGAAATCATTCCCCCCTTCACCCCAAACCTGTTCTTCTATCTCTGCTTCTTTTTCCTAGTTTTCATGCCAGTTTCCAATCTGTAGGCTTCTCATACTAATCCCAGTTTACTGGTTCAAACAGTCCTATTTTACACTCTAGGTCTTCAGCATATCCTTCTGCCCTTACACTGCCACCTTTCAATCCCACGTATTTTCAGTCCCTCCTTTTTTTCCTTCAAGCTCCTCTTGCTTATCAGTCTCTTTATACATCCTTCTCCCAGATCCTTACATCAGCATCCGTCCTTCTGTCATTTCACTGATCCTGTATGTCCCAGTTCTTTACCTAATTATCAGGCATATACATATCCATCTGATGACCACCACTGAAGGAGGAAAAGATTGATACTTAGGAAATGAGTTTCAATCAGGTAGTGACAGTAACATAGATTTTTTGATTTGTACTTTCCACTTTTCTGACAGTGTTTTTACATGGTAGAAATCATTCCCCCCCTCACCCCAAACCTGTTCTTCTATCTCTGCTTCTTTGTTCCTAGTTTTCATGCCAGTTTCCAATCTGTAGGCTTCTCATACTAATCCCAGTTTACTGGTTCAAACAGTCCTATTTTACACTCTAGGTCTTCAGCATATCCTTCTGCCCTTACACTGCCACCTTTCAATCCCACGTATTTTCAGTCCCTCCTTTTTTTCCTTCAAGCTCCTCTTGCTTATCAGTCTCTTTATACATCCTTCTCCCAGATCCTTACATCAGCATCCGTCCTTCTGTCATTTCACTGATCCTGTATGTCCCAGTCCATTCCTTCTACCTCGCCACTTCACCTCAGCATTCAAGCCTGGTATTTTTCCCTTTCCATGTGCTCTGGGCAGTTTCAGGAAGAGCACTATAAAAACAAATTCAACAGATTTTCCACTTCCAGCTCCCACACTGCTGCTCAGAGAAACCTGAAATTGGAATTGTGCAGGCTTACTGCAGATTGAATCTTTGAAGAATATAAGAACATTCTCTAGCAGGGCCTTTTAAGCATAAAAAAGCTACCAATTTTTCAGAGGCTTGATAGTCAGCTTGGAGTTGATCTTCAGTGACAACCTATAAGCTATTTTCTCATTAAGTTTCAAGTATCTGCTTCAAAGTGTGGAAGTGCTAGTGCTTCTCCACAAGAAATCGCCAGAATTGCCTTTTTCAGGAACAGCTTAAATATTTTTCATGAAATGTCTCCACAAGACTCAGACTGAAGCAGACACTCGGCATGGAAAATATCAGGATAAAGAGCCAACATTTGTTTAAATAACTTTTTCAACTCTAACAAGCATTAGTATTTAGATTAGCATTACATTAGTATTTATGTTAGTTTTTAAAAAAGAAAGTGTGCAGAAGCCTTGGTAATTTTAAAAATTGAATTCTAGTAATTTATAAACAGTGATATGTGGATATCCGTCTCAAACATTCTACCTACTTACATGTTTGCAAACATGTCTCTACATAGGCATGAGGTGTAGAGAGACAAAAATGACATAGCTTCTTCTATATAATATGTACACTATGTATGTAGATGACAGACCTACATAAATCACATTCCCTGCAATTTAGCATGTGTAGTACACAGCTTTGAAACCTCGTCCACTGCTAGTCCACTGTCCCCGTGGCTTACTCTTATGTTCCGAATCCTTGAGAAATTCCAAACAGCTGCCATTTTTATCTAAAAAATCAGCTTGCCAGTGAAATATTACTTAGTTATGCATAAACTTCAGCCCAGCACATAGCAACACCTATAATGCAGCTTACCCAAGTACTGTTTTGAGCAAATTGCTGACTTGTTTTTAATGTTCTCACAAGTTTACTGTCTAGTATGCAATTCTTGGCTTTTTGATTAAAAGCAATTCATCCTTTTTAAATTTAAAACAGTAAAATTATTTGAATTTGTATTTTAATTTTTAGTTGCCATAGTATTTTACAGAATGTAAATAGCCCTCAGCTTGCAGGTGTGTTCTTAGTAGTCTGGAGATAACATGATGTCCATAAGGACTTAAATTAATCAGATTATATGCACATATTTGAATTTGATTTACATCACATTCTTTTTTGTTGAACTTTCATGTTCTATCAGCATGTCATAAATAAGGTTTATACAAGGTAACTGGACCTTTACATACCAGGTGCTGATGCTTTTTCAGAGCTGTATACATAACCAATTAAAGATGCTCATAAATAAAGTTCTATTGTCCTTTACTTAAGGATAATATGAGATGGACACATATATGTGGAGTCAGGTCTTTACACCAGTTATTTATATCTCCCTTATGTCTTTCAAACTGCATGCTGTCAAAACCCGGAGAAACAAAAGTTAATTCATAAATTGGTTCTTTGCGACATTTTCTGCAATAACAACAAAAGGATAAAAGAGGTTGTGAAAGGATGTTCTCTTGATTTTGCCTGTGCTTGGTACCTGCCTTTCATAAAACCCTAATTAGGTTGGGATTTTCAAAAGCATTTAGCTCCTAACCTAACCCTATTGAAACAGTAAGTAATGGAAGTGTTAAATCAATATTTAGGAAAGGTATCACTATTACTGCTGCCATAGTACATGAGCAGTACGCACTCTTTAAACATGCTCTTGCTATGAACTAGAGGATGAAGAAGCATGGAGAGACAAAGTGATTTTTCTAGGGATTCTTGGTATGCTGGGAATGATTTCAATCTATGTCTCCTGACAGGTTCTATAATTAAAGAGTTGTCTTTTCTCGCTTACATGTAATCACCTATGATCTGTCTGCAAAGAGGAGAAAAATTAAGCTAACTTTAGAAAATCTACCTAAGAAATAAAAGATTTTGATTTACAAGGTAGAGAAGTTGCATCATTTTCCATTTTAGATAAAATTTTAAAGACCAGTCAAGAAACAGTGTGTCCTATCTTAACATTTTCCTTCCCCAGTTATAGAAGTTGCGTATTAACATACTATTTTATGCAGCATGGAATGCAATAGTATTAAACAAGTTTATAAAAGAAAGTAAAAATTAGGCTTGACTACTAAACCTCTTTCTTGTAATAAGCACCAAAAAAATTTCTATTAACAACTAGAGAGGTGAAAAAAGGAAAGAGAATGGGAGAAATCAAAGAAGTTCAAAATTGCTACGCAAGTTGAACTTTCTAAGAATTAATCCAAATTTTAGTGTCGACAAAAACCCATAAAAGAAATCTCTCTGATCAAAGACATTTCAATGATATTTTCTGACTTTGAAATAAAGACTTTTTTATTAATGCAAATGTAAAATGAATACCTTATTTTTTACATTCTGGTCTAATCCTTTAACTTCTTTTTCTAGTGTTTGTATTTTATTCTTGTTGATGTGAAAATGATGAGTCAGTATGATTCTATCATTCACAGCAAATGTATTTTCCAGGTTCAGCTATTTGGACTAGTGTAGACACAGTTCCATCTGCATTTCATATGTAAAACAGATCTTGACTTTAAATGTATTGTATTCTTAAGGGAATTTTAAATGTAAAAACAGTACTGATACCTTTGAATACACAATCAGCTGCAGTCATTCTTAGCTTTTCTTAACAAAAACCACTGTATCTTCTCCAAGGGCTATGCAAACATCAATGTTTACTGTGGTAGACGCACAATACCAGTATACAGAACTGATTGAATGATTTCAACCAAGTTGAAATCACAGTTTAATGGGACTGCCACATTTTCTCCTACACCTGTGTACTCTAATATACCTACCTAAGAAGCATTTCTTAATTGAAAGAGAAGTCAAGAACATGACTAGGAGAAAAAAAATTACCTATAGGCTTCATGGTTAAATCATGAAACTATATCAGCTCTAGAAGCAGCTGAAGAATTTGTTTTTATGTAATGAAACACTTCTTTTTCAATAACCTAAAACTGAGTACAGTCTCGTCACGTTATTCACTACCCACATCTAGATGTATAATAGAATATGTATAATAGAATATGTTGTTTCCTGAGGTTTTGCATCAAGTTTCATACAGTCACAGATGCTTAAGGAAACAGCAGCTCATTCTCTTCCCTTTTCACCTCTGCCACCTTGCTTTATTAAAATTTAATGAGTTTATGTTTGAGTAATGCAAAATTCACAGCTCTACTGGAGTCTATATAAAATCACAGGCTTAAAACAGAAACACTGATTTTATAGTCTACTACAATTTTGTCCGAACATCACCTTTTATCAATCCCTCACTGTTCCACAGGTTCTATTTGTCATCTCTCCCCCTAAACTCTCTCCTGCTCCAGAGATACTACTGACAATAGTCCCTCAAACCATCTAAAACTGCTTTAGTACTACCAGGAGAATTTTTCCTGAGTTATACTTTGCATATTTCCATGGTTTTCCCAATTTATACTCACCTTTGTGTTTGCTTTCTATAGCAGACCTAAGGAAGGATTTTGTGTTCAAAATCTTGTCAATTTTCTCCAATTACACAAGTAGATTTAGTAAAGATTTCTTCACTTTACAATTTGCCTTTCTTAAGCTGATCCAAAAGAAGAAATAATTGCATAGGTTCACAAAGCAGATAAATGCTTGAGTGATAGACATAGCTCAGAATTGCAACATAGCCTCTGCAGTAGTTGACATCTTTACTTTAAAATGGATGATAATAAAAAAAGTTTAAATCTTACCGATAATTGATATTGGCTTTCTGGCAAACCGTATTCTTCCCTGGAAGCCAACATACTTACTCCTGCAGCCTGCAGACCACAATCGTACCACATATTCAGCACCAAAAAACACAACCAGAACTATTTCCTATCAGAATTAAAAAGGACAGAATATCAGTTTTTTTCATTAAAAGACAGACTACAGTTTGCACATCTAATTTATTCCTATGACTAATACAAATTAGCTTGTTGAGGTGAAAGATGCAATAAAAAGGATTGTGCCTAATATGTTCACTTTTTATATGCATATGCCAGCCAGTACATAAAAGGGATATATAATCTGTTCCTGAATGTGCCTTGCATGAATAAAAGGATGGTTTAAGCTCCATTCCATCAGTATATCATAGGGAAAAATGCAGTATTCTTCTTCTTTTGTTTCTTTCCAAAACTTAAAATTTTTAAAGATAAGGAATGGAGGGAGGCTACATATCATTCCTAAAACTAACAAGTATATGAAACATTTCTAGATCATGAAACAGAATTTATAAACATAGAACTAGAAAGTGTAATATCAACTTTTGTATATTCGAAATAGAATCGTAGAATCACAGAATATCTCAGGTTGAAAGGGACCCATAGGGATCATCAAGTCCAACTCGCTACTCCTCGCAGGACTACCTAAAACTAAATGATATGACTAAGAGCATTGTCCAGACGTTCCTTGAACTCTGCCAGGCTTGGTGCTCCCTGAGGAGCCTGTTCCACTGACCAACCACCCTCTCTGTGAAGAACCTTTTCCTAATGTCCAATCTGAACTTCCCCTGACAGAGCTTCATTCCATTTCCTTGTGTCCTATCACTGCTCACCAGAGAGAGGAGATCAGCACCTCCCCCTCCGTTGGCCCTCTTGAGGAAGTTGTGGACTGCGATGAGGTCACCCCTCAACCTTCTCTTCTCCAAGCTGAACAAACCAAATGACCTCAGCTGCTCCTCGTAAATCTTGCCCTCAAGGCCTTTCACCATCTTGGTCACCCTCCTCTGGACACACTCCAATACTATGACGTCCTTCTTATACAGAGGCATCCTAAATTGCTCGAGGTGGGGCCACACCAGTGCAGTGTAGAGTGGGACAATCACCTCCCTTGATTGGCTAGCTATGCTGTGCTTGATGCACCCCAGGACATGGTTGGCCCTTTTGGCTACCAGGGCACACTGTTGACTCACATTCAACTTGTCATCAACCCAAGCCCCCAGATCTCTTTCCATGGGGCTGCTTTCCAGCCTCTTGTCCCCCAGTTTGTATGTATAACCAGGATTGCCTTGTCCCAGGTGGAGCATCCAGCACTTGCTCTTGTTAAATTTTATATGGTTGGTGATTGCCCAGCTCTAGAGTCTATCCAGATCTCTCTGTAATGCCTCTCTACCCTTGAGGGAGTCCATGGTTCCTTCTAGTTTAGTATCGTTGGCAAACTTATTTAATGTACATTCGATTCCTGCGTCCATATCATCTATAAAAATATTAAAGAGCACTGGCCCTAAAATTGAGCCCCGGGGAACCCCACTGGTGACGGACACCCAGCCCAATGTAACCTCATTTACTATAACCCTTTGAGCCTGTCCCATCAGCCAATTGCTCACCCAATGTATTATGGACTTGTCTAGCTGTGTGCTGGACAGTTTATCCAGAAGGATACTGTGAGAGATGATAGTATCAAAAGCTTTGCTAAAATCCAAAACCAACACATCTACTGACTTCCCTTAGTCAACTATAGGTGACCTTGTCAGAAACAGAAATTAGGTTGGTTAAGCAGGACTTTCACCTCATGAACCCATGCTGGCTATGACCAATGACTGCATTGTCTCTCAAGTGTTTTTTGGTAACTCCCAGAATAACCTTCTCCATAATTTTACCAGGCACTGAAGTGAGACTGACAGGCTGACAGGCCTGTAATTAAGAGCATCTTCCTTCTTACCCTTCTTGAAAACTGGGACATTTGCCATCTTCCAGTTGACTGGGACCTCTCCAGACTCCCAAGACCGTTGAAAAATAATGGAGAGAGGTCCCACAATGACATCGGCCAGCTCTTTCAGTACCCTGGGATGAATCCCATTGGGCCCCATAGATTTATGCACATCCAGCTGGAGCAGGAAGTCTCGAACAAGTTCAGGGTTGGCTGGGAGTTTATCATCCCCCCAGTCACGGTCTTCCAACACCGGGCTCCGGGGTTCCCAGGACCCATCATCGGTGTTGAAGACAGAGGCAAAGAAGGCATTAAATGTCTCTGCTTTGTCTACATCCCTACTTGTGGGGTGACCAACCTTGTCAAGCAACGGCCCAATGCTACCTCTGATTCTCCTTTTGCTATTAACATATTTTAAAAAGCCCTTTTTGTTGTCCTTCACAGTGCTGGCCAGCTTGAACCCTAATTGAGCTTTGGACGCACAAATTTTCTCCCTACCATGGAGAACAGATTCTCTATAGTCCTCTTGAGTCACCTGTCCTTGCTTCCAATGTCCCTACATTTTCCTTTTCTGCCTAAGTTCTAGAAGAAGATCCCTGCTCAGCCAAGCCGGCCTTCTGCCCTGCTTGCTTAACTTCCGACACTTAGGAATTGCCTGCTCCTGTGCTCTTAAGAGATGGCTCTTAAAAAGTGACCAGCATTCGTGGACCCCAATACTTTCAAAAGCAGATTCCCAGGGGACCTTACTAACAGGACTCATCCCACAAGGTTTCGTTTATGTCGTAGCTCTGGGACTGGGCCAAAGCTTCTAGTTCCTCTTGTTTATTCCTCATGCTACACACATTAGTATAGAGACATTTCAATTATGCTCCAGTGTACTCAGCACATCGTGGAGCAGACTGAAGGACCTCACTAGCACACCGTCCCTCGAACACTGGCGTGCCACCCCCAGGCTTATCTCCAGCAAGTCTGGGTTTATCCCTTTCCCCCTTCAAATCTAGTTTAAAGCTCTTTTGATGAACCCTGCTAACTCTTGTGCAAAGATCCTTTTCCCCAATTGAGACAGGTGTACCCCATCTGTCACCAGCAGGCCTGGTGTCATGCAGACAGGCCCATGATCAAAAAAAACAAAATTCTGCCGGTGACACCAGGTTCTAAGCCAGGTATTGATGTGCTGGCTCTTCCTGTTTCTTCCCTCATCATTCCCTGCAACTGGAAGGATAGAAGAGAACACTACTTCTGCTCCTGATCTCTCAAACAGTCATCCCAAGGCCCTGAAGTCTCTCTTGATTGCCCTTGGACTTCTAATTGAAAATTCATTGCTGCCTACATGAAAAATCAATAATGGAAAATAATCTGAGGACCATACCAGGGTAGGAAGTTTTCTCTTCACATCTTTAAGCCAGGCCTCAAGGAGGCAGCAGACTTCCCTAAAAAGTGGGTCCGGTCTGCATATTGGGCACACCCTGCAGCCTGACACTTGGGTGGCAGCATGTTCCCATTGGAGCTCTGTCTAGGAAGCTGCGTCAGTTGGGGAGCATGCAGTTTAGAGAGGCCAGGTGGACACCATTGCTCCCCAGTTGAGCTGGCAGAGCTACAGCGCCCTTCTGGCAGGAAAACTGCCATGCCACGCCCTGTTTGCCCGGCCTGGTCGCTAGCGCTCCCCAGGGGTTTCTTTTATAGGTGGGGAGGGGAGGGCTCGGCACCACCCAGGTCTCATCAGCCACTGTCGCGCGAGCTGCGGTCTCCTGGAGGGTCTCTCAGCTCCCCCTGAGGTTCCCCCGGTTCAGGACCCCCACTGTGCACCGCACTAGAGCTCTCTGCTGCAGACTGTGCCGGCACTGGAGGTGCTCGCCTCCGCAACTGAGGTGAGCAGTATATATACAGCGTATAAAATAAATGAATGATCTATATTTTAATGTTGCTTCCCTCTATAGCACTATATTGTAAAGCACTCGTGCATAACCAAGGATCAGTATACTTTGAGATACTTCTAAAGAAAGTAGATTAGTAAAGATCACAACATGGACAGATTTGTTGAGATCTTTGTTCCTTCCTTCCTTGTTTTCCTCTGCCATTGCAATATGCTAGCACAACCAAAATACAGCTTCTAGGCTTTGTTCCAACCCAAACTGTATTCAGTAACTCAGAGTCACCAAACACCTACTACATAAATTACAGCTTTGGAAAATATTTGTATTTTAACTTAAACATGCTTGCAATCTGCACCTGGGGAATTCTAAAGCACCCAAAGAGTGAACACACTTAAATCACAATTTTCACTGAATAACAATACCAACATGTCTTTAAAACTGAGATTCTGAATGGCTTAAAAGAGACCAAAATATTTCAAAGCTGAAAAATAGATAAGAAAAACTCTACAATAATATGCAAGACTGCTCGTCAATTTTGATTTTTAACAAAGTTAGGTTAACATTTCTGTATTCACTTCTACCTCCTTGTATTGCCTGGAATGAGAATCAAGAAAATATACACAGTCTTCCTCTGTTTTCATGGCACTTTCAGCCTGACTAAAACCAACAATTAGTAGAAAACTAAGAAAGTTTACAGCACAGTTTCAAGGCAGAAGCACAAGAAAATACACAGCAAATTAGCTCCACAAGTTTGATTTTTTTAATGAACGTATCATCTACAGCTTCTACAAGTAACACTTCTAAGTTTGTGCTCTGTCTGAAATCTAAATGCAAACATTTATTCAAGCATAATAGGCAAAGCCCAATTCAAGTACAATCTTCAAAGGAAAACAATGCTTGCATTTCAGAAATCTTTCAAAATGCTCTCTCACTTATTGTGTACATTTTTAGCAGGTTCCTGGTATCATCACTCAGTAGCATTTGTTTTCAAGTCTCTTATTAAGGATCTCTTATTTCCACCAAAGGAAGCAGAACACTGTCTATACGGACCTAATAGACCTGCTGGAGGAATAGCACTGAAGCTTTGCAGTAGACAGTGAAGTCATAAGCATTTCTTTCTGTAATTAGGCAGAAAGCTAGTACCAAAGCTTGAACTGAAAGAGCATTTCTGAAGCAAACAATTCCACATCCTTATCTGCAGACTAAAATGGCTGAGCTCCACTGAGCTCCACCTCAGACAACACTGATGGCACTGGAAGAATCATTTTTACAGAAACTGTATATTAGAATCACTGGGTCAGTTAGGTAAAAAAT